GAGCCTGCAAGCCGGGCACATGCCCCGATGGGAACCGAACTGTGACCTCCTGGTTCATAGGTCGATGCTCAACCACTGAGCCACGCCAGCTGGGCATACCACCGTTTCTTAATCCACTCATCTGCTGATGGGCACTTAGGCTATTTCCAAATCTTAGCTATTATAAGTTGTGCTGCTATGAACATAGGGATGCATATGTCCTTTCTGATTGGTGTTTCTGGTTTCTTGGGATATATTCCCAGAAGTGGGATTACTGGGTCAAATGGGAGTTCCATTTTAATTTTTTGAGGAATATCCATATGGTTTTCCACAGTGGTTCCACCAGTCTTGCATTCCCACCAGCAGTGCACGAGTGTTCCTTTTTCTCCACATCCTCTCCAGCACTTGTCGTTTGTTGATGATAGTCATTCTGACATGTGTGAGATGGTACCTCATTGTTGTTTTGATTTGCATCTTTCAGATGGTTAGTGACTTTGAGCATGTTTTCATATACCTCTCGGTCTTCTATATGTTCTCTTTCGAAAAGTGTTTACTTGGGTCCTTTGCCCATTTTTTTATTGAATTGTTAATCTTCTTTTTGTTAAGTTGTATGAGTTCCCTGTAAAATTTGGAGATTCAACCTTTATCTGAGATAGCATTGGTAAATATGTTCTCCCATGCAGTGGGCTTTCTTGTTTTGATGATGGTTTCTTTTGCTGTGCAGAAGCTTTTTATTTTGATGTAGTCCCATTTGTTTATTTTCTCCTTAGTTTCCATTGTCCTAGGAGCTGTATTGGTAAAGATATTGCTATGATATTTGTCAGATATTTTGATGCCATTGTATTCTTCTAAGATTTTTATGGTTTTCCATCTTACATTTAAGTCCTTTATCCATTTTGAAAAACAACAACAACAACCCCCCCCCCCCCCCCCACACCAAACACAAACCTCACAGCAGCTGGGAGATCAAAAATAGTAAGATGGACAATTTGTTAAAAAAGACACACACACACACAGCAACTTCTCTTCTCGACAGCTTATCTTTACTTAATTTGACCCCACATTCCTTGCTTATTGAATTTGTATAATGTATATTCATGGTTAAAAAAAGTAATCTAGTACTCTTTTTAAAGTATAAAGAGACAAGTAAATTAATTTCCCATGGCATCATCTATTTTGAACATGTTTTATGTCTTATAAAAATCCACTTAGATCGTAGATTCAAAAATTTAAAAATGGATGCTATGTTTACTTTTGTTTCTGGAAACATAATGAATTTGAAAAACTACCTTTTCCTATTTTACCAGCTCATTTTGAAGTCCTTATAAAGTATATTGAGAATTTTTGTTATGATAGAAAATAGCTAAAGAGGAAAAATGAAAGTAAAGTGACAATTCCTTTTTTTTTTTTTCACTTTGGCAGGTTATTAACAAATTCAAACAGACTTACAACAACCAGAAATGCTGTATGGGCCCTCTCAAATTTATGTAGAGGCAAAAACCCTCCTCCAAACTTTAGTAAGGTATGAGTAAAATACACAAATTAAGCAACTGTGTATATAAACTTTTAAGTCTCCTTTTAATACATTTGTAGAGATTGAATGGAAATTATTTTTATTTTAATAACTATTTTCCTTATTGATTAAGCAATGTTTGTACATATACAAAATCAAGAGATATATAGTGAAAAGGAAGTTTTCCTTTCTGCCCCTCCCATACCCATGATCCCTCTCCTCAGGCAACCACTGTCACTGATGTTTACATATCTCAGAGTTGACTTTAGAAACCTTCTAGTCTAGTTGTCACTTAGGAAATTGGAGCCCCACACAAGATGTTGAATTCCACATTTCATCTCAAAAAGTAGATTAAACAATTAGCTTTGATTATATATTTTTTCTTTCTTTTTCGTTTATCTTTATTGCTGATAGTATTGCAGATGTCCCCTGTTATTTCCCCACTGATTCCCTCCTCCCTGCTCTCACTCCCTCCTCAGGCCTTCACCACCCTATTGTCTGTGTCCATGGGTTATGCATATATGCATGTAAGTTCTTTGGTTAATCTCTTCCTGCCCAACCCTCCCATTGAGATTCATCAACCTATTGCATACTTCCTGTTTGGTTCTATTTTGTTCATCAGTTTCTTTGTTCATTAGATTCCAAATATAAGTGAGATCATGTGGTATTTGTCTTTCTCTGACTGGTTTATTTAACTTAGCAAAATAGTACAACCACTATGAAAAACAATGTGGAGTTTCCTCAAAAAATAACAAATGGAACTGCCATTTGACCTAGTGATCCCACTTCTAGGACTATATTCTAAGAATCCCAAAACACCAACCACAAGGAATATATACACCCCTATGTTCATAGCAGTGTTATCTACAATAGCTAAGATCTGGAAGTAGTCCAAGTGCCCATCAGTAGATGAATGGATATTTTTTCCATTGATTTTTAGAGTGGAAAAGAGGGAGGGATGGAGAGAGGGAAGAAGGGGGGAGAGAGAGAGAGAGAGAGACCCTTTTTCTTTAAATTTTGTAAAATTGATTTGGAGAGAGAAAGAGAAACATGGATGTGAGAGAGACATATTGATTGGTTGCATACTGCAGGCTCCCTGACCAGGGCTGGGGATAGAACCTGCAAGCCAGGTACGTGCCCTTGACCTCAGTATCCAATAAGTGACCCTTTGGTGTGCGGGCCGATGCTCTAACCACTTAGCAACACCAACCAGGGCTCCTTTCCCTCTTTTAACTGCATGTATGGAGATGAAAAATACAAAGATCTGTGGTATATTTTGTACCACTGCCTTGATTTGTGTTAAGGTGCTGATAGTTTTACCTGCCATTGCTTTTGTACCTTCAGTGCAAATGTCAACAAAATGAAAAAGACCAGTTATGTGTTAGTATAATTGTGAAAAAAATTTTTTGGCGTAAAAGACCTCCAAATGTTGCAAGAATCCCTCAGGGGCTCATGGACCCCACTTGAAGACCCTCTGGCCTACAACATCATGTAATATCGACTTGACTAATTCCCTGTATTTCTCTGTATTTTCCTTGTTTGTGAGAAGATGGTGGAGCAGAATGTTTTTATTTTGCTCTCTTAAAATAGAAATATGTAGCACTTCATTGTTTTTTACATAAGTAAAAGGATATATATCAGTTACACTAGTTTTTTTAATTTAAAAGTTTACAGTTGCTTTTAAGAACTGATTCTCACGTTTCTTTGTTCAAGGAAGAGGAGGTGGTTGGCAAGGGTGAAGGCATGATTGTTGGGGTAGGATCCAGTTGTGCAGATTCTATTTCCTAACTTACAGATGAACATGTCTGTTTTGTAAGTGAACTGATTTCTGTTCCTGGGTCCTAGGGTCATTTTTACAGGAAGGTCCCAGCAGGGAAGATAAGTGCTTTCAGAAGATTATACTGTATGTACAGGCAATCTTTAAAATAGAGGTGAAGAGAACATCAACCTAAAATCTTAGAATGTGAAAAAGCTGTCATCACTTTTTATTTGTGGCATTTAACATAGAACTCTTACCTGAGAAGAGAGACTAAGAGATGTTAGGTTGCTGATTAAAAAATAAAAACCTTAAAGGAATATATAGGGTGTCCCAAAATTCACGCAAGAAGTAATTTTGATAGAAAACACAGGTTTATAATTAAAAATTGTAAATTTTTTATTGATTCATAAAGTATACAGTATAGGGTTATGTATGGAATAGAACATCAGGTAAATGGACTCCACTGCTTTGCTGGCACATACGCGAAGCCGTGGTCTTCATTGTCCCTGCTCCTGGGCCATCATTGGTACTTGGTAATGCTTATCAAATTGAAGGGATTGAAATCAAAGGGCAACAGATATTAGAATCTGATTCAAAAAACCAAGTAAAATTAGGCTTTTATTTGTTGTTGTTGTTGTTGTTAATGCTTACGCAAAATTCAAATCTTACATGAATTTTGGGACTCCCTATAGAATCAATACTGAGTATGGCAATTAAAAAAATCAACATCTCAGTGCTTACTATATGCCAGGCATTATTCTAAGATGCTACATGCATTCTTACTAATTTAACGATATTCTGTTATCCTGGTTTATAAGTGAAGAATTTGGGGTTTAGAGATATTGGGTTATTTGCACATGGTCACACAGCTAGTGAATAGTGTTTGAACCTAGGCCTCTCTAATTTGAGAGGAAGGATCATAGGATTTATTTAATTCAGCCTCTTTGTTTCACAGATTTGAAAACTGAGTCTCGGAGAGATGAAGTGACTTGCTCACCTCACAACTAATTAGTTTTAGTTTTATGCTAGCAGGATTAAAAATCTCTATTGTCTTATGTATTCTTTTAATTGAAGATTTAGGGTGTCAATACATTAGGAAATGTAGTTTATTAGTGAATTCCATTAAAAGACCCTTCAGACTTCTTTTTGTGTTTTATACACTTTTACTTCTTAACTGATTATTATACGTACTTCCAATAACGTATATGTAGTAAGTAAAGTGGGATTCATTTAGGTTGGATCATATTCCATGATCATTACATTAAAAACTTAATGGGAATATTTTTACTTCTCTCAGTTTTAGTGTGCCATTTTTGGGGTGTGTTTGTGTATGATTTAGACATAGAGGATCCCAAATACGTACTTCATTATTTTAAAAAAACTTTAAGTTATCATCTAGTGGCTTTTGTATAAGATTCAGTATAGGATTAATTCAGTATTAATTTATTCAGTATAAGATTAATAGGGGTCATAATCAGTGTTATGTTTATATTTGATAATAATTTTAAAACAATAGAATGTTTAATTTCTCTAGTATTAAATGTTAGTTTTAAAACAAATTTCTGTATTTTCCTAAAGAAACTTGGTTTTAGGTAGAGAAAAATTTTAAATATTGCCTCTTTCTTCCCTAACAGGTTTCACCTTGCTTAAATGTTCTGTCACGATTGTTGTTTAGCAGTGACTCAGATGTATTAGCAGATGTGTGTTGGGCCCTTTCTTATCTCTCTGATGGACCCAATGATAAAATTCAAGCAGTCATCGATTCTGGAGTCTGTCGGAGATTGGTGGAACTTTTGATGTAACTATAATTTATAATTAATAATTACATGATTGTGAGTTTAGCAGTTAGAGTAATGGCCTCTCAAACATCTCGAGAATCATATGGGAAGGGTTGAAAAGCTGCTATAACCCCACTTTGCAGAATAGCTATAATACTGAAAGTTGACCCTTAAACTTGTGTCTTATATCCTCTAGTTGGGACTATTCATTTTGTTCATGAATTTCATTAGTTTTAGGCTCTTAATGAATGAGAGATACAAGTATGTATGAAATGCCTGTTACCTGCTAGAGTAAGATATTAATGAGTATAGGATGTAGTTCCTTCTCTCCCAGAATGAGTAATTTAGTTAATTGTTCATTACAATTATTAATCTGTGTAAAAGTGAAAATTATTTAGTATTTCACTTGTATTAGAGATAATATATTTCTCTGTGCTGAGCTATTATTACTATGTTCTTTAAAAAGAACAGATTTTCGATACAAGGAAGTTAAGAACTTCTAAGAGAACTTATTTTAAAAAGGCATTATAATTTTTCAGCCCTTTATTTTAAAACATGTATTATCTTCCTTCCTTTCTTCTGTAGTCAGAAAGCCACTAGGTAAGCCCAAACAAGGTAGATGGCAGGAAGAAGAGAGATCTGAAAAGGGGTTGTGGCTCCAGCATGAAGAAGGTGGGCAGGCAGGTCCAGTGGGGGGATTAGGGCCCATATTTGAGGATGGCACCAACTAGAACGGAGCAGACAACTAGGCTGGAGCAGGTGGGAGCCAGCACCCTGTGGCATAGCAGCCTAACTGGATCAGAAGATGGGTCATACACAGGGGAATTCTGATAATAGGAACTATCTTATTCTCAGAGAATGGATTTATAAATATGGAAAGGAAAAAAGCCAGAAAAATCTTGTATGATGCTAAATTAGAGTTGGAAATGGACTCTAATGTGAACTCATGGCTTTCAACATTAAAGAGCTAGATCTAGAAACAAATATACTAATCTATGTAATTTTGCACGCGAGTGTGCGTGTGCGCGTGGGGGGGGGCAGTGCGCGCATGCGTGCATTTCTCTTAAAAGGGCTTGGGAGCTGTGACACATTTATACTTGTTAGCTGAGCACACCAAAGCCCAGGTTTTTAAACACTGCTCTTCATTAACAGGAACCAGGATTCTTGGAGAAATAGCTGATTCCAAGGCTGCGATTGATAAAAAATAAGATATACTCAGAAAGTAATGACTGCTCAAAGAATGAATAAATGTTAAAAGAACACAGAAGTCCACTTGAAGGGACTCCTACTGTTCAAACCTGGAATGATTTGAGCATTGAAATAAATTTATAGTAATACTAGAGGCCCGGTGCACAAAAATTTGTGCACCCTGTGGCGGGGGGGGTGTCCCTCAGCCCGGCCTGTGCCCTCTCGCAGTCTGGGACCCCTCGGGGGATGTCCACTTGCTGGCTTAGGCCCACTCCCCAGGGGATCAGGCCTAAGCTGGCAGTCAGACATCCCTCTGGCAGCCCGGGAGCCCCCGGGGGATGTCCACTTGCCAGCGGGCAGCAGGCCTAAGCTGCAGTTGGACATCCTTAGCGCTGCTGAGGAGGTGGGAGAGGCGCCCGTCAAAAACCACTGTGCTGGCAGCCATCAGCCTGGCTTGTGGCTGAGCAGAGCTCCTCCTGTGGGAGCACACTGACCACCAGGAGGCAGCTCCTGCATTGAGAGTCTGCCCCCTGGTGGTCAGTGTGTGTCGTAGTGACCAGTCATTCCCAGTTCTGCTGTTAGGGTCAGTTTGCATATTATCCTTTTATTATATAGGATATTAGAACTTACTGAATAAAATAGGAGTCCATGAGTCCACACTAAAATAAGCACATAGGTCAATAGATAGAGAAGGCATGTAGTTGGAATGATAGTATTAGAAAATCATCATTGGCAACAATACTAATAATTATTAATAATCTAGACACTAAGCTTCAACAGATGCTTAAACTATTGGTGAAAGTGGGCTAAGGCATGGGATTTTACATAGCCTATAAGTATTTCCTCACAAAATGTGAATTATAAAAGGAAAAATAGTAATGTCAAAGTGGAGAATCTAACAGACACCATCTTAATTAAGCAAGCAGAGTTCAGTGCCACTATAATGGACAAAACAGATACCATATGCTATCCAAAATTATGTAATAAAAAGACTGTAGCATTTGTGTTATCCCAGCCAAAGTATATACGTTGTGTCTTAATCATGAGGAAACATTGGACAAAACCAAATAACTGGCTTGTTTTCATAAAAAAGTCAAGATCAAGAAAATCAAGGAAAAATTAAGTAATTGTTTTGAATTAAAGGAGATTGACAGCTGGGTGCACCACATGATCCTAGATTAGATTCTTTATTATGGAGATAATTATGGGATAATTAGTGAAACTTGAATGGATTCTCTGGGTAAAGATTATATGGGATTTTTTGGGGTACTATTTTTACAAATTCCTGTAAATTTTAAATTCTTATGTAGTGTGTAAGTTAATATTTTTATTATTTTAGGCACAATGATTATAAAGTTGTATCACCTGCATTAAGAGCAGTTGGTAATATTGTGACTGGTGATGATATTCAAACACAGGTGAGTTCAGACTTTTTAATAGGATAAGCTAACATAATTATATAGGCATCTATAATGTAAGCATATTCTTGATAATAAGTGATCAGATTCAAATACATCTATGTGAAAATACTATCCTAGAGCTATATCAATATGAAGAAGTACATGATAGGAGTTAGGCCAGGGGTCCTCAAACTTTTTAAACAGGGGGCCAGTTCACTGTCCCTCAGACCGTTGGAGGGCTGGACTATAATATAAAAAAAAACTATGAACAAATTCCTATGCACACTGCACATATCTTATTTTGAAGTAAAAAAACAAAACGGGAACAAATACAATATTTGTATTTGCATGTGGCCCATGGGCCATAGTTTGAGGACCCCTGAGTTAGGCTCTTGAGAGATTTGCAATTCAATTAGAGAGAAAAATATATATTAAAATAACATAAATTACCCTAGGTAGTATATGTTTTCTGAGAGCTGATTGATCAGTAAATGCTATAAAAGTTTAAAGAAGAAATCAGTGCACCAAGAAATCATAATAGATTCCACAAAGGAGTTGGAATAAAAGCTAAATCTTAAAAGTAGAGGACCTAAGTAGATGAGAAGAGATTTATGTGCCAGACATGTATGGAGGTATGTTTAAGAGACATTAAACTTGATTGGAGAAGAAACTGTTAGTGAGAGGATGATTGATTATAAATAAGTTAGAAATGAAATGGCCTTTTATAGTAGACTAGAGGCCCGGTGTACGAAATTTGTGCATGGGTAGGGTCCCTAGGCCTGGCCAGTGATCAGGGCCGATGAGGGCCTTCCAGCTGCTGGCCAGGGCCTTCTTTTGTTCCACACCGCTCACTGGTGGTCAGTGCATATCATAGCAAGCAGTCAAACTCCCAATCAGTCGAACTCCCGAAGGGACAATTTGCATATTAGCCTTTTATTATGTAGGATTGAATACCTAGGTTATGAGAATGAAAAGAAAGCAAGGAAACACTTTCTGAATTGGTAATTAACTATGTGTGTGAGATATCAAAAAAGGTGTGATATCAAGATTGACATCAGATCTGGTATAGTCTTTCTAGAAACTTCAACTCTGTAACACATTATATTCTGCTTTGTTTGCCATCATATAGTAAACTTTTTATTCTAATCTATGTGTTTTGTTTTCATTTTAATCCTTAAAAGTTCTATTTATATACCTTAATTATGAAATAATTGATCCTTAATAATTGATAGTTATTAAGGAATGTAAAAGAACAAAGCAGAATATACTTCTTTACAAAAGAAAAATGTAATAGTAAAATTTTTAAAATATATTTTTATTGATTTCAGAGAGGAAGGGAGAGGGAGAGAGAGATAGAAACATCAATGATAAGAGAGAATCATTGGTCTGCTGCCTCCTGCATGCATGCCCCCTACTGGGGATTGAGCCCGCAACCGAAGTATGTGCCCTTGATGGGAATCGAAACTGGGACCCTTTAGTCTGTGCACCGATGCTCTATCCACTGAGCAAACTGGCCAGGGCTGTTTATTGATTTTAGAGAGAGGTGAAGGGAGAGAGAGAAATATCGATGTAAAAGAGAACATTGATTGGTTGCCTTCTGTACATGTTCTGATCGGGGATCGAACCTAAAACCTTTCAGTATACAGAATGATGCTCCGACTGAGTCACCCTGGCAAGGATGGAACAGTAAAATTTTTAATGAAACTAATAGACTTATTTCTACATGTTAAGGTTTCTTAACAGTTATGGAATTAGTTACTTTCAAGCTGTTTGGGTGTGTGTGTGTGTGTGTGTGTGCACGTTTTCCCCATCAATTCATTTGGCAAAACTAGAGGATGGATCCTAACCAGTCGCTATATTGTCTTCAAATAGTTATTTCAGTTAAACTCTGAGTGCATTTATAAACTTGAAGGACATAATAACTCTGAGTGCATTTCACTACACCAACACTAGAAAGGTTTTGGCAAAGTGGGACAGTAGAAGACAGCAAGTGCCTAAGTTTTATTTTGAGAGGAATTTTTTTCTTAAGTTTTCAGAATGGTTTTTGTATTTCTAAATAATTCATGAGTATATTTTTGTTTATTTTATTTTATTTTCTATAAAACTGTTTCCATTTCTAACTTTTGTTTTAGGTAATTTTGAATTGCTCTGCATTACCCTGTCTCTTACACCTACTGAGTAGCCCAAAGGAGTCAATCAGAAAAGAAGCCTGCTGGACTGTTTCTAACATTACTGCTGGAAATAGAGCTCAGATTCAGGTAAATACCTCTCAGATCTGAGAAAACAGGAAGATCTCAGAAGGTAGTTTTGAAAAAAGTCAACATTTTATCAGTGATGTATTTTAGTGAGTTACTGAAAAAGATTATTGAAAGGTATTTGAAAATTATTTTAAAAAACATAGCCTTTCCTCCTCTAAAATAATCACTTATAGCATTCTAAAGAGGAATAGCAATTATATATATAAATATACATATGCATATGCATATACAATTATGTGTAAATGTGGTTGTCTCCCACATGTGCCCGACATAATGGTTAGGCTTTAAAAAGGGATTGCTTTTTGTTTTAAAAAAGTTAGACAATGATCTCAAAACTGTTAAATAATGATCTATTAGGGCCCTATTAAACTCTTCAGTCAGTAATTACCTGATCCATCATCTGCCTTATGTTTTATCATATTTAAAATTTACATTCTTGCTAATATATTCTCCAGTCTTTGTTTTGTTTTTCTGTTAATTCTCACCTGAGGATATTTTTCCATTGATTTTAGAAAGAATGGAAGGCAGGAGGAGAGAATGAGAGAGAGAAACATTGATGTGAGAGAGACACATCAATTGGTTGTCTCCCACATGTGCCCAACCAGGGCCAGGGATCGAGCCTGCAACTGAGGTATGTGCTCTTGACCGGAGTCGAACCTGGGATCTTTCAGCCTTAGGGCTGGTGCTCTACCTACTGAACCAAACCGGCTAGGGCTGTATTCTCCAGTCTTAAAAAGAAAGTAAGTAAACTTTTGTTGAAAGATTAGAAATAAAATATTTCCAAAAAGCCTGCCATTTTAAAGCCATTGAGTTTCAAGGTTCCTCTTCTTACTAATATATTTAAAACTATATTTGCATTGATTTTGCTGTAACAATTTTTTCTCTTCAGTCAGTTATAGATGCAAATATTTTTCCTGTTTTGATTGAGATTCTTCAGAAAGCAGAGTTTCGCACCAGAAAAGAAGCAGCTTGGGCTATAACTAATGCAACATCAGGAGGCACTCCAGAACAAATAAAGTATGATACAGATTTTTAAAAATTGTTTTTTAAATATAAATGAGATATTTACAAATTTAAAAAATACATACTTTTTCTTTGTTTATAAAACTAAAACATTATTTCTGTCTATTTAATAAGAATTTGTAATGTGAAAATATAGCATTTGTTATATCAGTTATTTATTTATAGTGGTTTTAATTTTTTCATATAAAGTATGATTAACATTATTCTCGTCAGGCTACGAAAAATCAGAATTTAAAAAGGTGAAAAATATAGTCTATGTTAATTTGCAAAATATACTGACATGGGCATTATATTTATCTTAGATCATTAAAGTCATATACATGTAACTTTATTATATAGAAATGGCTAATAAATTTAAATATCTACTTATTTAAACTATAATTGAAATAGGAAATAGACATTTGTTTATATAATAATGCTCTTCCAATCACTGTTAGCCTTACCTGTAGATTGGATCTTTTATTTTTCTATAGTAGTTTTCTTCAGGGAAGCTTTTTAAATCTAGCCCTTTTATTGTTTACTTGCTTCTTTTTTTTTTTACTAACAATACAAATGGTAGGTACATGGCCTTTGAAATCAGCCTGCCTCCAAATCCTGCTTCTTCAGAAAAGTTGTGACCTTGAAAAGTCATTTAACTTCTCTGATCCACAATTTCTTCATTTTTAAAATGGATTTAATAACGGATAGTACCTTATAGTAGTATCTTGACAATTAAATGCAGTTTATACATTTATAGTGCTTAGCAAAGTACCTAAACATGTTCTGTACTAAAATTAGCTGCTATTATTATTTGTATTAATCATAACTTTTAGTATCAGATTGATTTCTAAGTCTCTTTTCATCCTGTGCATTTATTCCCCCCCACGCATAGCGAAGTTCCACTTTGCACCTCTATGAAAGCCTGACTTCCTACAGACTCTTCTTGTTCTGAGGATCCCTCCAAGAAACTCAGGACTTTTTAAGTTTGCGAAGTGACTGTTTAGAAAGTATTTTCTAATGAGTATTTGATTTGTTTCTTAATTTATAAAAGAAGTCAGGCTACTATGCTATTTTACAAATCACAGAATTTTGAAGTCTACCTACTGGGAGATCATTGTTTAAGATTGCCTTCTCTCCTGCTCTCTCAGATTCCTATCTCTATATGTTAATGACATTCTTCTCTGCTTTTTATTTTCCATTCCACCTATTTGCTTTAATCAATATTTTCACTTCATTTGTATCATGAATACAAGCAGTAATAAAACAAAATCTTTCTTTTGTTCTGGCTTGTATGTTTTTTTTAATGCTAATGTGATTTTTATCTGCTTTGGGACCCAAAGTTAGTTTGTTCACCTCAAAAAGCTGTATTTTTTTAAAAAATATATTTTTACCATTATGTCTATTCCATTTATTATTCCTTAAATTTATTAGTACGAGTCAAGTATCTAAACGGAGATTATTATTTTTCTAACCATTTCACCATTTCATTTAGTCTACATATATGGGAGAGGTCTCTTGATCTCAGATTAGGTTTAGTGTACATACTGCTGATACTGTGGCGTGTTTAATGTTGCCAGTTGTGTTCAATCATTTCAGTTATTAAGCACCAGGTGCTTTCACGTCTTTTATCTTCCTTTTACTTCATAATTCTATGAGATAGTTATTCATTCAACAAATATATTTGATGGGTTACAATATAGTATATGGCAAGTGAGTGCTCCAGTAAAGGTATGTACACTTTAAAAAAAAAGGATTGAAACTTTTATTGAATGCCCATTGTATTCTTATAGCAACCCTCTGAGTTTGGTACTGTTGTTATCCCCATTTTAAGATGGAGAAACTGAGGCCCAGAGCAGTTAGTCAAAGTCACACATGAGGAGTGAAATTGGGATTTGAAACCATGCAGTCTGACTTCAGAGCATGTTTATTTTTTTAATCTTTTTTTATTGCTTAAAGTATTATAAAGAGTATTACATATGTCTCCTTTATTCCCCCCCTTGACAATCAATCAACCAGCCTCCCCTACCCCCTAGTGTCTTATGTCCATTGGTTATGCTTATATGCATTTTTTTTATCTTTATGTTTAAATGGACTATTTGTTAAGTCAACAAATCAGTTACTTTATTTACATTATAGAAAATGGAAAAAGAGCTAACAGGAGCTAGAAAAGAACAAAGCATTATAAAAATGATTTCGTGAACATTATTTATTAAAATTATTCACAACATGGCCCATTTTGCTCCTAGAAGGCTTCTATGCTTCTGAAACAAAACATGTTTCAGAACATTAGCTATGATTATATTTGTGGGAAACTTCCTGAAATTTTTTTTAGATGCCTCTCCTCCCTCTCATTTCTACCTATCAACTCATATGACCCCTTAAAAACATAGGCCCACCCTTAAAAACAAACAAGCCTCTAACCCACTTAGTGTTGATGTGCCAGATTGTCTATTTTTATAATATTTGTAATACCATTTATTGCTAATTATGAGAATAGGAGAGTAAAAACATGTTTTCAGGTTTCTGTGTAAGTGAATATTTAATTGTTTTTAATTTTTGAGTTAACATGGATACTTAATTGTTTATATAACATTTCACTAAAGAATACTCTCATGTTGTTGCCATAAATAATATTTAAGTCTTTTTCAATGTTATTTCTCCCCACTTTTTTTTTTTAATTACTCTGAAGGTATTTGGTAGCTTTAGGCTGCATTAAACCACTTTGTGACCTATTGACTGTTATGGACTCTAAGGTAGTCCAAGTGGCTTTAAATGGACTTGAAAATATTTTACGTCTTGGAGAACAAGAATCTAAGCAGAATGGGATGGGTATTAATCCATACTGTGCTCTCATTGAAGAAGCATATGGTAAGCAGTCAGTTAAAAACATAATTACATTGATGTGATTGCAGTGCACATGTAGATTTGTGTTCCACGTTTTAACATTTGGGGGAGATTTTATATTTCTACATAACATCACTTTTTTAAAAAAATATATTTTATTGATTTTTTACAGAGAGGAAGGGAGAGAGAGATAGAGAGTTAGAAACATCGATGAGAGAGAAACATCGATCAGCTGCCTCCTGCACATCTCCTACTGGGGATGTGCCCGCAACCCAGGTACATGCCCTTGACCGGAATCGAACCTGGGACCTTTCAGTCCACAGGCCGACGCTCTATCCACTGAGCCAAACCGGTTTCGGCTACATAACATCACTTTTAATAGCCACATAATGTTATATTGAGTGAAGATTGCAGGTCTAGTTAGCCATATTGAGTGCAGCTTTAGCCATATTGCGGTTGATCCCTAGTTTGTTTCCGTTTTCTTTACCACTTTAGATATGTTAAAATAAGCATCTTACCAAATATAATTTTTTCTGTTGAAATAATACTTTGGGATGAATTTTTAGGAATGCTATTGCTGAGTTCTACGCATAGACTTCTTTTTAAGCTTTTGGTATGTTTTCTATTTTGCTTTCCAAAGGTATGTTACATGGCGGTGTCACTGGCATTGTATGAATCTACTCTACAACCTCTTGTTTTGTTGACTTTGCTGATTTAGCAGATGTAGAAGGGTATCAATAAGTTACTTTTATGTGTCTTTTGTTTTATTTCATGTATAAGCTGGTGTGTATTTTCCATGTATTGATGTATTTATTCATCCAAATTGTATGTTTATTATACTTTGTCCAATTACCCATATGTCTTCCCTTTGCTAAAAATTTGAATTAATTTTATTTTATAGTTGTTTACTTAAATATGGCTTTTCTCCAATTTTTTACCTTTTTATTTTAATAAGACAAATCATGTTTATTTATATTTAATAAATGACTCAATCTAATCTTTTATTCCTTCAAAATTTACCAAAGTCATTGCCCCTACAGAGATTTGGTGATTTTTTTTTTTTACTAACTAAATATTTCTTTTTTTAAAATTAATTTTTAGAGAGAGAGGAAAGGCGAGGGAGAGTGAGAGAAATATTGATGTGAGAGCAAAACATCAGTGTGAGAACAAAACAAGGATCAGCTGTCTCCTGCACACGGCCCACCTGGGATGGGCCCACAACCTCAGGCGTGTGCCCTGACCAGGAATGGAACCAGCAACCTTTTGGTCCACAGGATGGCCAAGCAACTGATCCGCGCCTGCCAGGGCTTGGCTAGATGTTTCTGATTGGCCTCATTTAACTTAACATTTATCTTAACTTACATGAACTCATATGGAATCTATTTTAGGATAAGGAATAAATCTAAGTTGATTATTTTCCTTTTAATATATTTCTATTAAATATTCACTTCTGTCTTAAGTATTGTATGGTGATTATATTATATGGTGATTCAATCGTTTATTTATGACTAGAGGCCTGGTGCACAAAAATTTGTGCACTCGGGGGGTCCCTCAGCTCAGCCTGTGCCCTCCAGAAGTCTGGAACCCCTTGGGGGATGTCCACCTGCTGGCTTAGGCCTGCTCCCTAGGGGATCGGGCCTAAGCTGGCAGTCAGACATCCCTCTGGCAGCCCGGGAGCCCCCGGGGGATGTCCACTTGCCAGCGGAGAGCAGGCCTAAGCTGCAGTCGGACATCCTTAGCGTTGCTGAGGAGGCCGGAGAGGCTCCTGCCACCACCGCTGTACTGGCAGCCGTCAGCCTGGCTTGTGGCTGAGCAGAGCTCCACCTGTGGGAGCGCACTGACCACCAGTGGGCAGCTCCTCCATTGGGCATCTGCCCCCTGGTGGTCAGTGTGTGTCATAGTGACCAGTAGTTCCCAGTCTTTCTGCTGTTAGGGTCAATTTGCATATTACCCTTTTATTATATAGGATTTTTTTTTTTAATACTCAACTGAGGATAGTTTTCCAGTGAGTGGAAGAGACAGGGAAAGACAGAGAGATACATTGATGTGATCGATTGGTTGCCTCCTGCATGTACCCTGACCAGGGCCCAGGCTGGGGAGGAGCCTGCAACCAAGGCAGGTGCCCTTGACTGGAATCAAACCTGGGACCCTTTGGTCCACAGGCTGACGCTCTATCCACTGAGGCAAAACCGCTAGGGCTTAGCTTTTTTTTTTGTAATGACTAGAGGCCCAGTTCACAGATTCGTGCACCAGTGGGGTCCTTTGGCCTGGCCTGCGGGGATCGGGCCAAAACCAGCTCTCCAACATCCCCTGACGGGTCCCGGGTTGCCAGAGGGTGTAGGCCAGGCCCAGGGACCCCACCAGTGCATGATTGGGGCTGAGGAGGGACCGAAGGAGGGCTCCAGGGAGTGTCCGGCTCATCTCTCCCTGTCCGGCTCATCTCACCCAGTCCCGATTGGCTGGACTGCAGCAGCAAGCTAACCTATGAGAGCGTCTGCCCCCTGGTGGTCAGTGTGCATCATAGTGACTTGTTGAAAAATCAAACAAATGGTCAGACACTTAGTATATTAAGCTTTTATTATATAGGATTCTTTAACCAATCCTGGGATATTAATTTTTTTTTAAATATATTTTATTTATTTTTTACGGAGAGGAAGGGAGAGAGATAGAGGGTTAGAAACATTGATGAGAGAGAAACATCGATCAGCTGCCTCCTGCACACCCCCTACTGAGGATGTGCCCGCAAACAAGGTACATGCCCTTGACTGGAATCGAACCTGGGACCTTTAAGTCCGCAGGCAGACACGCTCTTTCCACTGAGCCAAACCAGCTAGGGCAATTTTTATTTCAGCTTATATAATGTGATTGGTTAAGACATTACATAATTATAAAATATTAATCACTGATTTAAGAATATTTCTCTACTACAGTCATTATTTTGGCTCCAAATTATGGAAGATTTTGGGCTATTCTATTTTTGTGTATAGATATGACTACTTTGCTAATTCTTTCAATCCTGCAATTGGATAAGTGAAGAGGTTTGTCTAATTAAATAAATATTTTCAGCATTACCCAGACCTATGTGTAGATTTCTTTTTCTTGTGAGCTATAGATTCTCTTATCAAAATGGTCCTTTTCAGTTTCATTTATTTAGGTTGTAAATTATACAGTAGCTACATTGGATTTACAAATAGTACTCATTTATTATATATTGATACTCTGGTTCTTTCTGTGCGAGAATGTGTGTTTGCACACATTCTACTTTTTTTGTTTTGTTGCTTTTCATTTTTGTGCTTTCCATTTAGCATAATTACTCTGGAAAAGACCTGTGGATAACCTAAAACTGTCATTTTAAGATTGAGAGACTAAAGTAGAGGGTGACTAAACTTATTTGGACAAAATCACATAGCAGAAAGGAGTCTGTGATCTTCTTACCCTCAGGCCTGTGTTACTCTCTCTTAGCACACTGCTCCATACTCTCATTTTTGAAGTAAAAAGCATAAGTGTTGGCTATCAGTAAGTGCAAAAATTAGATAAAAATAGTCCCATTACCAGTTATTTGATTGGTTATTTTGGTTTAAATATATGTTGAAACTTGAGTAACAATTTTATGTATATATGCTTTGAATAACAGGTCTAGATAAAATTGAATTTCTACAAAGCCATGAAAATCAAGAAATTTACCAAAAGGCCTTTGATCTGATTGAACATTACTTTGGTGAAGACGACGACGACCCCACCATTGTGCCTCAGGTGGATGAAAACCAGCAGCAGTTTGTATTTCAGCAGCAGGAAGCACCAATGGAAGGGTTCCAACTTTAACTTGTGGAGGAAAGCATTAACGGCTAAAAGGGTAGCGTCCGATAGCTCCTCTTCGTTACCATGTCAGTAGGAATGTTTGATATGTTCTTATGTAGAACGGAAGAGGAATTGATGCACTTTTAAAAGCAAACAAAACAAAAGTTTCTAGTCAGCTGCAACCTCTCAGTATAGTTTTGATTTTGCTGTGCCTGTATATATGTATTTTATTGTTTTGTCTGTTCCTTAATCTATTCATGAGCAATTAAATACATTATGAAGTTATTTAATAACTTAAGCTTGAAAAGGAGAACTTTGGTAAGGTATTACACATGGTTCTGAATTTTTTTCTAGCATTCTTGAAAACTGCATATTAGCAGTCCAGGTAGTTAGAATTGCATTGTGGCAGCAAGTCTGACAGGCCCAATCTCTACTAAATCTACCTCTGTCTTGAAGCAAAAACACGTCAGAAGCATTAGTATAAAAGCTAAATTAAAACGTGAAAATAATCTATTACCTTAAATTATAAATCACTGTGCTGGAGGTTATACTTTGCAACAATAAATTGCAACAGAAAAAGCTGTAACATTTATTTATAAAACACAGAAGAAATATTGATAATTAAAATGTGGAAATTGTGAAGAGAGAAGCTGTTCTTCATGTTGAACACATTAAAATGATTACACATTAAATATTTGTGTTTTTAACATATAAATGCTATTATATTAGCATATTTTGTATTTTGACCAAATATGCTACCATTTTTGAAATAGTGTTTTATAATTTTTCACTCTTTATTTTTAAAAAGCATAATTTTAAGGGATGCCAGCATCAGTCTAAAGTAGTGCTGATAGCAAAAATAATACTATATGTAATTGTTTCTCTGATTTTTCACAGCAGTAATTGAAGTTTCATTTTCTGTGTATTAGTGAATTTAGGTACTTGAATGGTGAAATTATCCTGAAGAAGTCACCTTGATATTTGCTAGTCAGTATACTTAATGTTTGGACATGAAAAGATGATATTTATGAAAACTGATAAGGATTCTTTAATATAGTTGAAATCTGCATTAGGATATTTTTAATATTCAGAGTTTCATACTGCTGTGTTATCAGTGAGTGTATTACATTACATTTGTATCAGATTGGTCAATATAATGTGTGTGTTTTATGTATTAAAGGCAAAACCTCTTCAAACTGAAACTTTAAAAAAGTTTCAGTAGAAAAGTTATATATATTTATGTGTGGGTAAATATACATATATGTGTCTATGTGTTATTCTCACAGTACTATACTTGGTAAAGTTTACGCAGACATGGTACTGTTGAACTCAGCTTTTTCATTTATAGTTATATGCAGGCTATTTACATTTACAATTATATCACTAAAATACTTATTTAAAAATTAACTTACAACTGTTTTAGATGGGAACTGAAGCATTTTTTATATGATTCATAGTCTCTTCTGTAAAGAAAGATTTCATTTATGATAACATTTATAATGTTTCTGCTGGAAATCAGAAGCATGTTATAAGAAGAAAATGTATAGATGAGTACTTTTAAATAGTATGAAACTTTGTAAATTATGTATCATGAAACTAAGCTTTTGGCAAGAGACTTAAAACCTACAACTATAAAGTACAGGTTTAAGTGGTGTTTAAATGCTGACTGTATCTGCCAAACTTCTTTTATATTAAGCAGAAGATTGTATTTGTGTCCTTTTTATTGTAGTGGAAGTTACGAAGTTTAGTATAAAAAGTTTCTTTTGTATTATGTATCTTCAAAAGAACAGGGTATATTAAAGATTAGCAAATTGATGGTGAATTTATCAGATAAACATTTTTTTGTGGTATAGATGATTCTAAGTATAAGGAGACAGGGTATTCCACTCTTTCTATTCAATTGAACTTAATAATATAGCATAATTCATAAACTAGCCAGCCGTGCCTGCTTTTATTTTGAGGACACTGTAATCACATTACTAAATCTCTAAGCCAAGCCTTTCAAACAAATAATTCTTATAGAAGGAAAAAAATATATATATGTTTGTGCCCATGCACACACATATAGAATGATGTCAGAGGAGGATTTTAAGTTTTTTGCCACTAAAATAAACATTATATCTCTAAGTACAGATGTGACCATATTTTAAGCATTCAAATACAAAATTATGTTTAATTTCATGGACCTGTTATGTGGGTAATTAATTTGATTAGATTTGAATGCAAGAGATAGTAATCGTTGGAATCAGCTATTGGTGTGGTGGTGACTATTGAACCAAGACAAGCAAAGACTTTGTTTGTAAATTTATTTTTCAATACGACTACTTTTTTCAAATGTACTATTTAAAGTGTTCCAAAATGTGTTTTCATTAATCTTCACTGACCCATAGTGGGGAAGATGTTTTAACTTCTTTTCCTAAAATTCATTATATTTAAGTCTGAGAGAAACTGTGCCCCATCCCCAAAATTAAAACATCTAAAGGGGGAACACATGCAACATTAATGCAGAAATTAACATAATACTTGAAAGAGTCCTTTACATTTATTGTAGTAAATTTGGTATTTTGTTTTGTCTGAATTTGAATTTTTAATAGTTAATCTATGCAATTTTGCTTACTGTTGTATATTTGTAAGTACTTGAGTCACTGGACTGGTTTTTTTTGTTTTTGTTTTTTTTACTATAAGTTTTATTTTTAAAGATGTGTTCCTAGGACTTAATTCTTAGTGTCATTTTGTTCTCTTACTGGTAGCACCGGAACAAGAAAGCAAAAAAAATAAATAATTTTTTTTTAATAATAATAAAAGCGTAATATGCTAGTTAGACCAGACAGCCGAACGAAGCCGGGGCCGCAAGGGCCAAGCCCCTCGCATGAATTTTGTGCTTTGGGCCTCTAGTAATAATCCTATCTAATAAAAGGGTAATATGCAAATTAACCATCACTCCACAACAAAGATGGTGGCGCCCATGGTGAGGGGGGGGCGTTGCTGGTGGCATCTCCCTGGTGACACGAGTCCAGTGTCCCGCACCCCAGCCACACGGAGGGCCGGGCCTCTGGCCAGAGACTGGGACGTGGGACACTGGCATCGTTGCAGGCCAGGCTGAGGGACCTCCCCCCTATGCACGAATTTCGTGCACCAGGCCTCTAGTAATAAAATAAAACTTGCTGGCATAGAAATAACATAACATTTGGTAACTGTAAAAGCTATTTGTAATTAAAGCTTGATTTGTTTGATAAAGGACTAAAAGAAGCATTACCTTTGCCTTCATATTTTTCTTCTCTTATGAAGGAACATTATGTAAAAAATGTTACACCATAAAAGTCTTAGTGGATTTTGGTTGCTGTTCTAAACTCAGCGATCTACTGGCTGCTTTGTGAAACTGAAATCCAAGTATTGTTTACCTTTACTCATTTTAGTTCATAGCATTATTGTTTTATGTAATGTGACATATTAGGAGCCGTTATGTAGGGCTCTAAAAGGATAACATATCTTTAAGTTCTGATTGGGGAGTGGGATGAGGCAGGGATAATGTTAGCTAAATAAATCAACATTTGAGCAGTATGCAATATTATGAAATGTTACAGCACTCTATTAAAAATAATAAAATACTATTTTACAATTGCATTTACATATGTCTATTTCATTTGCTCTCACTTAGATTATATGTGTATTCGTACCACATCAAAAACAGATGCCCTCATTGATTAAAATTCCATCCACTTTCTAAAACCAGTAAGATTTGTTCGTTGTATATCTGATTGAAGCTGTGTGTGCTTTTATTTTAGAATCTATAAATATTGCTCTAATAAGGAAAATGTCTAATATATTTTTGTATCTCAAGCCATGGCAACTACTGGACATTCACAGGTTTAATTGAGATTTTTCCTTTTCTGTTATTTAATGCAATACAATGCATTTATCTAAGGAATAAAGTTTTAAACCTAATAAATAGAAATCGGAGGGTTTACCTTTCTTAATTACTCTGGAACATAAGGTCACACAGTAGCCAAGCCTAGGCCCCCCTAACCTAGTGCCTTTATCTTCTTTCATCACTATGTTTTTTCATTGGGTGGCTTCATTCCTTCAGTATTTGAAACTGTTGATCACAGAGCAGTGAAAGTAATTGGATCAGTTCTTTTTAGGGTATGTTGTTCCCAGTAAGGCAGTCTGCAACTTCAGGGGCAAATGAGTTACTGAAAATGTATGAAGGAACAACGTACAGGTCAAAAAGTAGACTTCAGTGTGCAGTAGCGTTCTACTGATCCCTTTAAAAGGGGAAAAAAGTAAAAAAAAAATTGTTTTCCCTCCACCATTTTCACCCATCTCCCTCTGGCAACCATCAGTTTGTTCTCTGTTTCTATGAGTCTGGTTTTGTTTTGTTTGTTTGTTTTCATATTTTTAGATCCCACATATAAGTGAAATAATATAGTCTTTGCCTTTCTCTGAGTTACTTCACTTAGCATAATATTCCCTAAGTCCATCCATGTCATCACAAATGGCAAGATTTCATATTGTTGAGTAATATTCTACTATATGTACAGGGTGGGGCAAAAGTAGATTTACAGTTGTGAGTACACAAAACAAAGTTTATTCTTGTATTATTATTTATTAATTATTGTATTAGTTTCCATATGAACAATAGTAAACCTACTTTTGCCCCACCCTGTATTTTTAGATATCTTTATTCAACTATTTCTATTTTTTTATTGATTTCAGAGAGGAAGGGAGAGGGAGAGATAGAAACATCAATGATGACAGAGAATCAATGATTGGCTGCCTCTTGCATGCTCCTTAGTGGGGATTGAGCCCACACTCGGGCATGTGCCCTTGACTAGAATCGAACCCTGGCTCCTTCAGTCCACAGGCCAATGCTCTATCCACTAAGCAAAACCGGCTAAAGCTTTATTCATCTATTTATAGACACCCACCTTGCTTCCATATCTTGGCATTGTAAATAGTGCTGTTAATAATGCTGCAGTGAACATAAGGGTACATGTATCTTTTCAAATTAGTGTTTTCATTTTCTTTGGTTAAATGTCCAGCAGTAGAATTGCAGGGTCATATGGTAGTTCTAGTTCTAATCTTTTGAAGATCTTCCATACTGTTTTCCATAGTGGCTGTACCAATTTACAATCTCACCAACAGTGACCGAAGGTTCCTTTTTTTACCACATACTCGTCAACACTTGCCACAAAAAAAACCCACAAACCCAAATATTTTGTCAAATATTCTACTTTATCTTTTATTGTTGCTGATAGTAGTGGTAATGGTCTGATGAACACTTCATCACTTAGAGTATCATTTAGCCTTAGCCTGTGCAGCCAACGCAGCTTCTTCACGCCATTTAGCTTTCTTTGCCAGGTTCCAACTTGTTAAAGATTCATGTCTTTCCACAGCCTGAAAAAAAAGCAAAGCATTGTACCTGGCAAGAACTTGTGTGTTAGATATATAGAAGAGACTGTGAAAAGGAGAAAAGTAAAACACTAGTCACAATGTCAGAAATGTGCCCCGTCCTCTCTTGGTAAGCACATACATTTTGGATAAAAAGCAACAAAAATATTAGTTCAAAATAAATAAAGAGAAATGAAAAGAACTCAAAAGGCATGAACTGGTGGGGAATGAGAAGGATTGAAAACAAGATAGAAGGAAATGGTTTCATTGTGGGGGTCATTAGGAAAAAAATATTTGCTTCAAAAGCTGTGGGCTTGGAATTTAGCCTCTTACCAACAGGCAAGTCCAGGATTTGGATCGTGGGCATAGAGTTGAGCTAGCAATAAAAAGTTGGAGTTATTAGGAAAAGGCATCCCTCTGAAATTACTAAAATATCTCCCACCAGCCCTGGAGGGTGTCCAGAGGAGAGCTCCAAACAGAGGGAAGTTTTAGGGATAGAGTAATTAAAACGGGAGAAGACTCAGAGGGAAGTGTGGGGTTGCTCTTCATGATAAAAAGTGATCAGCAGATGGAAGGATTTGGGGAAGCAAGGGACAAAATTAGCAAGTAATTAATTAGTTCTTAATTTCTCTCTAGACACTACATATTGAAGATGGCAAGAAAAAGGCTCAGATACAGGATATAGACAAACTAGTCAGCCTTGGTATCACTTCCAACTTTTGCATTTCTAACTACTTCATGATTCTATAGGATGGCCAACTGAGTTCAGTGTTTAAGGAATGATCTAGCCTGGATAAAGTTCTTGTGAAGATTTTAAGCAGGTAATGCACTGTTCTGTTTTGTTTTTGTTTACCTTACAAATGGAAACAAGCTTTTGTCCCTCCTGCTCAGATAGTTAATCTGTTGACTCAAGTTTCCATGAAGAAGTTTGTTTCCTGTCTAGACAGATAAATACGGATGGCTCAAAGTGTCTAAGACCAAATTATTCTTCCATTGAAAGAACAGCAATAATCCCTAAATTGAGAACAAAACTCATAAAATACCTTAAAATTTACAGCCTATTTTTCCCCCATAGTCCTAAGTGAAAACATGTGGTACTTCCGTCTTTCTTTTATTTTAAAGTCTACCTTTAACTTAAAGAGGTACTCACCCTTTTGGCTGACGCTATCACTGCAAAGCAGGCGATAATTGTGAGTCCAATCATTATGTAACAGGCTTTCACTCTAGCTTTGTTTCTTGCGGCATCTATCATTTCTCGCCTGCATTAAGATAAGTATCCTGTTAATTATATTAAAGTAATATGACTTTCTGATGGCATAACAGACAATGATTTGTAATGTAAACATTCCAAAAGCTTTCCCTGAATGCAAATCTAGATGTGAAAGACTTCCAAATGCTATGTCACTGTCTTACCAATTTTAAATTAATGGGCATTTATTTAGGTGTTAACTAATGTTAGCCACTAGAAGCCAAAGTGTAGTATTATTGCCGTAGACCAATTCCAGCATGCCATAATTTCAAGAGTTTCATCAAAAGGTTGATGAGACTTGGGGACTCAACAGGGTTGAGTCACACATGTAGTCACCTGTTGGGAATGGCTAAAGGCATTTCCCCAAACCTGAATAGGAAACTGATTGTGGCTGTCAGACAGTTAAAGGGCATCTTAATCTACATGTTATTGCCTCCTACTGGCCAAACACCTGACAGCTGTAGGCTATTCCCCAAACTGACAATAGACTCTGTACCCTTTGAAACCTTACCCTTTAAAGTATATTATCTCCACCTTGCCTTAGGACAAATTGTGTTAATAAAAGCAAGGGTCCTAGACAAGGAGGGAGTCTTCAGTTCCTTTAGCTGAAGGTGCTCTGACCCCCAATGCCTTTCAAAATTATATCTCGTCTCCGGACTATTAGTCTCTGGATTCCTATGTCATCTACACACAGCCCCTTTTCCAGATTCCTGAACCCTTCTTGATGCTGGGACAAGAACCCCGGCAATTTTGTTTCTAATTGCTCAAAATATAACTACTAGAGATTCTGGCTTGACTCTCCATCCTTTTATTTTTTCCATTGGTGGTGTGTGTATGTGTATGTATGTGTGTGTATGTGTGTGTATGTGTGTGTGTGTGTGTGTGGGGGGGAAGTAAAGGGAAGAATTAAATTGTCTGTATGCCTAAGTTGTGTTCATTTGGTCCTTGTGTTATTAAGTGGCCTTTGTTTCAGTCTTAAACAGGCTGTTTTTTAAAACTCATTTTCATCATTTTGGTGTTTTTTTTTTTTTACTGGCTTCCCAATCTCTTCTTGCCACCTCCTATCCTATCCCAATTAAAGAGACTATGATATCTTTTGTGAGGATGACTATCATAATGTTATGTTTTGGGGAGAATAACTATAGAGGAAAGGTTTTTCCTTCATGTCTTTTGCATGAAGTTTTCAAAAGAAATGATTAAAATCATAATAATTTGTCAAAGAAAAGAGAAAAGATATCTTCATTTCTTATTATCATTCTGAAATGTTATATGCTTAGTTGAAAACTGAGTACTCTTATTCATTAATAAAGTTTATGCAAGTTGTCAAAAATTTTACATATACTACTCACAAAGTAGTGTTACAAAAATAATCTTGCCTGAAGGCCTTTTATATTGAAACTACTGGTCCAGTGCACGAAATTGGTGCACGGGGGTGGGAGGGGGGGTGTCCCTCAGCCCAGCCTGCACTCTCTCGCAATCTGGGACCCTTCGGGGGATGTCCAACTGCCGGTGGATCAGGCCTAAACTGGCAGTCAGACATCCCCCTTGCAATCCAGGACCCCTGCCTCCTAACCGCTCGCCTGCCTGCCTGCCTGATTGCCCCTAACCACTCTGCCTTGGCCGCCCCCCCTTGCCGTGGCTTTGTCTGGAAGGACGTCCGAATGACATCTGGAAGGTCATTTGGCTGTCCGGTCTAATTAGCATATTATGTTTTTATTATTATAGATCAACTTTAACAATTCATAATAATATGAAGTAGCAGTTTATAAATGCATAAAATTAAAAAGTGGTTCTTGAGAATGTATTCAACAGTATTCTTTCTTATCTAACGCAGTTACATTAAAAAAATTTTTTTTATACAGACAAGATGCAGTTTCTCTTAAAAACTTTCCACTAGTTGAAAGAGCACAGAAAACCAATACCTAGCCTGTTAGCCTTAGATTTCAGGCAGATTAATATAAGTTTTAAGATGTTAGCTGCAAACAGGTGAATATAAAGACATTATTAGATTATATTTGTTGTTGACTGTTGTCCAAATGGAACCTAATAGATCTGATCTTTTTCATCCATTCATTTGACTTTCATCTACTATACCAAATTAGTTTAACACTGCAGGAACAAGAAAAAGTACTGTTATTATTAAATTTCGTTAGTGTCTGGTACAAACTTGGTAATTATATGTTCCTTAAGAGAATAAAAAGTGAACGCTGTTTACACTGTAAGTCTAACAGCAGAGGAGGTGTATCCCTCCTAAGTAACAATACTTTTAAAAAACTATAGAAAATAGTAAAATGAAAACAATTCAAACGTTTCATGTTTCCAACCCAAAACTATAATACTTTTCATAGGCATCTTGTTCAAACTAAAATTTCCCTGTTTATACTACTACTTTTAACTGTAATCCTGGTGAAATAAAATTATTTCTGTAAAATGGGTCTCTTTACACTTACAACTATTTTAATTCAATGCTGAGCCTAGAATCTCTTGACAAGCATTAATTTACAGTTAACACTGGTTCTTTACATTCTAGATTACTTGTTGCAGCACTACAACTCAACCCCCCCCCAAAAAGAATAAAAATTAAAAAGTGAGGGTAATGCTTTAGATTTGCTGAAGCTAAATTATGCTTTGGGCTGTCTGCAGTTTGGAGTGTATAAATCTCAAAGAAAAGAAAATGTGTTTTATATTATTTAAAAACGTCTCTGTGGAAAAATAAATGCTTAGAACAGATTTCAAATTCTATGTTATTTCAAATTCCAAGTCCATTCCTCATTAAATAATTCGACCCAAGCAAGGAATCTTTGAGAATTCATTATTGAGCGAACATATCCCAACACGTTTTATTTTTTCATTAATTGTGATGCTTTGGTAACTAGTAAATTAACAAGCAATAAAAGTGTGGGTAATATGTGCAGAACAAGATGTAGGCCCAGGTTTCATTCTCTATTCCAACGGGCATGGACCATCTTGCATAAAGATAATATACAGAACATCTAAAGTCCTTATTTGACATTATAGTTTTAGTCTATCTTTCAAATCAGTTTAAACATATTAGATTGATTTTATTCTTAGTTTCCTTCTTTCCCTTTTACCCACTCTCTTGCAAAAATGCTGGGAAGTTTTTTTGGGTTTTGCATGAACTGAAACTGCAGGGAGAATATTCTGTACGGCCCTGGCTGGTTTGGCTCAGTGGGTAGAGCGTGGGCCTGCGGACTGAAAGGTCCCGAGTTGATTCCAGTCAAGGGCACATGCCCGGGTTGTGGGCTCGAGCCCTAGTGGGGGGCGTGAGGCAGTCGATCAATGATTCTCTTTCATCACTCATGTTTCCATCTCTCTCTCTCTCCCTTCCTCTCTGAAATCAATAAAAATATTTTTTAAAAGAAAATAAACTGATCTTATTAAAAAAATGAATATTTTTTACAGGTTACATTTACCCTGGGGGTGAAGTTGTCAGCTTGTTTTATCATTTACCGAAGCTTTTGGGTGGGTTTGGGATGGCGCAGAGCCCAGCGATGCTCAGGGGGGTCCTAGCCTGACTACACCCGCTGCTCAGAGGGGTGCAGAGCCACCACCACGCGAGGCGTCTCCCACCCACAAGAGGAAGTCGCTCGGATGCGGCTTCTTCCCGGAGATTCTCCAGCCAACACCCGGGTATGATCCTTCCTTGAGTTTGGCAGGGAGCCGACCCCGGGCGCCCCGGTAGCCCCCTGGGGTGCCCGCGAGGACTGCGCCTCCTGTTGGGCCTCGAAGCTCCTCTGCCTCGGGGCTGGAGCTCGCTGCGGGCGGGGGTCTGAGCTTGGGGAGGTGCCCACTGCCTCCCGGGGTTTCACGCAGCTTCTGCAATCTCCCCGTGAGCTTAGCTGCCCACGTACCGCCAAGGACCTTGACCTCTAGCCGCGAGGGGGGCTGGGTAAGCGGCTGAAGGTGGCGGGTGTTCCCGCAGAGCACTGGCACTGCGACCGCCCCCGCCCCGGGTTCTGAATATTCCAATTCTGAAAACTCTGTTAAATCTTTGTCTACAAATGGATTTTTTGCCTTTTCTGGAAACTCTTTGGAAGCTTCCTCACGGGATCAGCGGCGGAATGTCCTCCATCGCTTTGAAGCGCCGGTCCACAGCAGGATTTTCTTGTCGAACTGGGAAGGCTTGTGCTCGGCGGGGACCCTGTGCACCTTCCCGGCTGCGGGAGAGAGAGCCCGCGCCGCG